AAAGATTAAAAGTAAAATGTAGTCTTTTTGCGTTTAAGTTCAGTAAAACACGTTTTTCACCAAAACCTTACAAATGTCTTCCATGTGTTCTTTGAACCTACGCTAGTTACCGGTAATGTCTGTACACGTTTGTTTACTTTTACTGTCTATCTTATTGGTTTATTTTCTTCAATGCTATCTCCCTTCTTCTCTCCCGGGCATCACACTCTACCCTTTATATTGCGTGGATAGATATTCCAAATGCATAGTATGCTAGTATAACATTAAACCAGCAAGGCTCAATAGAAACAGTCTCAGGTGAATCAATAAAATATGTCGAAACTTTTACATACCTACGAAGTGAAATAAATTCTACTGAAAATAATGTGAAAGTTCGGGGAGCTAAACATTGTCTCGCCTTGAATAAAATGGATGCAATCTGGAAACACAGATCTACCCGACAAACTCAAACAGGGATTCTTTCGAGCCACTTTAGAAGCGGTGTTAATGTATGGTGCCACTGCTTGGACAGTTAACTAAAACCCTAGAATCTCAATTTGATAGAACCTACACTCGGATGCCGGGAGCTATACTTAACATCCCTTGGAGATAACATCCAACTAAATTACAGCTGTGTGTACCACCCCTGATATTTCTACAATCTTATGCGAATGCAGAATGTGATTTTCAAGACACTTTTGGCGAGCAAAAGAAGAACAAGAGTGTGATCTACTGTTCTGGACATTTAACCATGGAAAAAGCGGCGTTGATCGCCCTACATTGACCAGCTATGTTATGACACAGAATGGCACCCTAATGACATTCCAAGCTTGATCCAGGATCATGTTGGTTGGCGCGATAGTTTCATGAATGTCTGAGGTAGGTCAACCGAATAAATAATTAATATCTCAATGCGCAATTATTCAGTCAGTTATGTGTCATGAGTGATACGCGCTTAAGCGATCATATATATTTTAATATATGACTGACGATGCAGATTTTTTTCCCACAGTATGTTGCCATTTCTGCTGTAGACAAGTTGCCATCGAAGGATATAGAACCCGAAAAAGGGTATTAGCACGCAAGTGAATGTAATGGATTAGACTGGAATTCGAACTCGGCTCTTCGATTCCTCAATCCGAGCCGCTATCTATTACTCCAATTTTTATTTTTGAATTATCAATTGAAGTTGCATTTAGCATCCAAAGAATTTGTCTGTTAAAAAGTAAAAATACAAAAAATTAAACGCTAGAAACTTATAAAGCTAAATGATACTAAAATACATGTAAATATTATTTTATTTATTCCATGATATTTAATGCCGAAATCTATATATTTTGAACACATTTTTATGGATTCAACTAAATTTATGCCTCCAACTACAGATAAAAATGTATTGTTGGTCATTTCTTATATAAAATGTATTGTTGGTATTTTACTATGAAAATGAATTGTTTAGACTTTCATATTCTTTTGTTTTTGATTTGCAGTTCTCTATTTACCCATAGCTGTGACCCTAGCAGGTGCTACTATCCTGGTTCAGGGTGCACCTGGGTGGTAGTAATTAAGAGATGGTTCTACGCACCTTAAAATGTCCAATTTCCTTATCAGAAGCCTTGCTGTCTGATGTAGTTTATCATCATAACTCAGGAGGATGCTTTAATAGAAAGATTTTACAAATTTCAACCGACAATAACAGTTCAGTCAAAGAATGTCGAATATTTCCTTTATGGAAACGGTCAATTTCACCATTACTATGCAGCTATGACTGATACCCAATTGGATTTCTTCATTTACATTATTATAGTCACCATGTTTCAGTATTATATCATCATGTCTTCGACAGTATTTAGTAAGTTCTCCAAATTTTGTTGAATGTATTAAAAAGGGCTGTTTCGTAGACATTTTGCTATTATTATTATTGGTTATTATTAGTGGTTCCACGCTCTCAAAACCTCCAGTCTTCAGGTCTATAAATCGACCATAAATGGGTCCGTAGATCTCTGATTTACTTGGATGTTGTCTCCAAGAGATGTTAATTATATCTCTCAGCATCCGAGTGTAGGTTCCATGAAGCTTAGACTCTAGGCTTTTAGGTAATATCCACGCAGCGGCACCATACATTACCGCCGCCTCTACAGCAGCTCGAAAGAAGCTCACTGCTCGATGTCGTTCATCGTTATCCCTAAGATACAGTGGGTTTTTTAAGGATAATACCAAGTAATGAAAATACTTTGGAGTATTAACTTCAACAGCATTTATCCATCATACGCCATTAAGCCACAGAGTTGCAATGAAAGAAATTCCTACAGTCAATGTGTTAATATTCTTTTGTTAATGTAGTCAACAATACAAAGTGGAATAAGATTGAAGATACTTTGACTGAAAAAATGGAAGTCGTTTTTGAGAATAATAATTTTCGTAGTCTCTTGTATAAATGGGTTACATAACAGGGAGTAGAAAAGATAGTAAAAAGACAAACATTACTTAGAACTACAAAGTATAGGAAGTTGTGGAGGGCCACACATAGAAAAGGAAATGAGTAACCTTAATTAAATGGCCGAAGAAAGTTTCAGTCTAAAATCGTAGTTATTTTTTTTTATTTTTAATCGCTATTACCCGCAAGGAAGGCAGTAATAGCAATAAAACACAAGGGATTAAAGGATGTGGAAGAATCAGGAAAAGAAACAATAATGATGAGCAGAAAGAGAAAAGAATAATCAGGAGGAGAGCAGATAGCGGTTGACATTGCATTTAAATTTTTGAACATTAACGTTGACTGGAAAGCATGGAGCTGAAAGAGAGATTCACAAGCGAGAAGTGCAAGAAAAGAACTGTTAGCATAGAATTTACAGCTATATTTAACCAATTCAACTGTATATGGATGAGATCTCAGCGCCAGTCTAGTACTGCGCTTAAATTTTAAAAAAAAAACTCCAGCTACAACAACGCAGACCTCATCCGAATAATTAACATATAAGTATTTATAGAAAAGACATAGAGAGGCAACTTTACGGCGGTGGGAAAGAGACGAGTCACTAACTTCTGGTACGAGATTAAGAAGCACCCAGTGAGGATCGAACTCACTACGGAGTCGTGATTTATCTAGCGAGACAAGTTTGCTAACCATTACACCAGTGTCGAAGTGCCCCCAAAATCGGTTTTACAAAAAGTAACAAAATATATTTTTGCAATAATGTTGACCCTGTACTAGGCCCAAGAGACACTCGAGATAGAGGGCTCCAAATTAAGGGGTGCAGGTTATGGAGATATGTGGGGAAGATAACAGTTAACACTAGACTTAGTTAAGATTGTAGTGACTGGGAAGCATCGGCTCATGGGAACAAGCATTTCGAGCGAAACTTACTTCTCCTCTATAAAATACAAAGGAAAACAGGGTAGTTCGCTACAAGGTGCGTGACGTGGCAGGTCTTTGCCGTGAAAATTAGAAATGGTGGAACTAAGAAATGTTGTTCGTCTGAGCACTTTCCATGGAAATAGCTGTAGGGCAGTGAGAGAATTGTGACGTTTCATCTGTGCGAAAAGGATAGAAAATAAGTCATCACCCACAAGGGAGCAAGACTGGAAAGTGAATACTGGGCAGCACTTGCCCATATATAAAAGAATTACTCCATTTTCGATCTGATCTGGCTCTTGTATACGGAGAGGATAGAAGGTGGTGTCAAGTAGACCACTACAGAAAACCGACCATTTTTCCAGCATCTTTAGCGATAGATCGTATGTATGTGTTAAACTTGAGGTCTAGATTTAGCTTGAGACCCAATAAGCACTCAAAAGACGGACCTTCTTTAGAGAATTCATGTTTATCGCGATAGGCAAAAAATCAGGATGCGCTCGATAATGATGGAACGTCGCTAGATTAATTTTTCAAAAAAAGCAAAAAAAAATGTGTGTAATATTGAAAATCTGCGCAACATTTCAAATTAACTTATATGTATTCTTGTAGCGTGTCTCTTCAGGACGTAGGCGGTCTTGGTTCGCCACTTCCCTTGTAATTCTTAATGTTTTGTCTTTTATCTACTTCTCCCAGACCCTGTTCTACCATGCACTTGCTTATGCCCGCTGAGTATGTCACACGTTCTTTTTCCTTATCCCGCTTTCACTTTCTCCGTTTCGTGAGTATCAGATTCTCCAAACCTTCATTTCCCGTGTCCCAGAAATTTCAGCCGCCTCTTCCTGATGTTAATTATAAGTTTATTTCTTGCCTGCATCCTCTACAAAATCTCATCGTTGCTCACACGTCTTCCACACTTTTCCCTAAATGATCATTGATTCGAGATTTGCAAGATTAATATGAAATTCCAATTGCAAGTAATAAGAAATCCTTTTCCATGACGTTGTTTGGAATGTATTTTTTTTTATTTTATTTTGTTTATATGTTTTAACAATATGAATATCAAATTTTCAACAATAATGCGTGGTATAAGAATGAAAAGTACATAACATAAATAAGTACTACGAGAATGGGAAACATATAGAATTGTCGGAATATACACATGAGTTTAAAGTTGGAATTTCTACAAAATCACTGCTTTCGTCATCGCCAGCTACAGATGCCAGCCATGGGCATTGACAAGAGTGAAAGATATCGGATATATGCTTTCAAGATGTGGGCATATCGCAGAGTCCTTAGAGTACCACGGACAGTGAGACTCACTAAGTAGGTGCTAGATACCCTCAGAAGAAGGGACGTATTGAAAGAAAGAGGGTACTTAGGCACTTTCTGCATATTGTGCGACGAGGCGGTTGCGACAAGGGCATTCAGCTGGGCCCACTGTGTGGCAACTGGCGCCAGGGACAACAATCCATGTCTTGGTTTGAGTATATTAAGAGGTGAAATGGAATGATGGTAGCTGTGGCTGTAAGGATAGCAGCAGGCGGAAAGAGATGGAAGGGAGTGGTGGCCACATCGGCTAACTTAATAAATGATGATGATGATGATGATGATGATGATGATGATGAAAGATAAGTTAGTATATGGTAGAGAAAAATGCACTTACGTTTCGTAAATCGTAATTTCCAGATTACTTATTAACACGAAGGAAACTGTTCCATTAATGCCCAAGAATTGAGTATATGTCTGAAAACAAGAAAAAAAAAGCAATTATTAAACCTTAATAAACACGAGAAATTTCCTACATAACTTTTAGAAAGAACAATATAAATGCAGGATATATATCTAGGTTTAATAGACAATGCAAAATTATTTAATAAGGAAAACATTAATAGCTGTTTAACCTGCTAGAAAAAACTTGATTTATCTGGAGACAGTTGAAATGTCTACGGCGCATACTGAGGAAAGAGGACTTATAGAATTTGACGCCCACAAGGCATTTTGAAGGCAACAAAAAACGAGGGAAACAGCGCATAACCAATCTAGCTTGTATAAATGGTTGGCAGAACAATGTTTAGTGGAGATAGCGAAAAGATAAATAAACATATCAATCGCAAGACACTTTGAAGGTAAGAATGACACAGACAACATGCCAGTAACCTACCTAATGTGATTCTGCAAACGGACAGAAGAAGAGAGAGTGACAATAAAATACTAAAGATTTTAAGATCCCCTAAGGATAGGAAGGTGTGAAGAGCTATGACCACTAACGTTCTGAAGGGATACGGCATATTGATGAAGAAAGAAGTAACACTATATTTAAAATATAGCCGTTTAAGATAGACAGCAGAGTGTAGTGAGGTCAATCCCCATTAGCTGACCCACTATCATGGCCTTATTCTAAACATATATATATATATATATATATATATATATATATATATATATATATATATATATATATCAGTACATTTTTGTACAGCAATGATTAATAAATATAACCCACTATCAAAGGCTACAGTGTTCTTCCCTTACTGGTTGATCCATTTCTGTAGCCTTCTATCAAACTAACTTATGCTGAATAAGTATTTATTTAAGGGTTCTAGTTTTAAGGCAAGTTTTGCAAAACCTCTCACTCGTTTCTCACTTAATGTATTTGTTCCAGTTTAATAATTATCTGTGACTTGTAAATGTTCAGTGAAGCATAATTGCAATATTGAGGTTAGTAGATCGTTGGGGTGAAGCTGCCTGGTAAGTTTCTGAAGAAATTGTTTTCTTGGCCTTGACTTTAGAATGTACTATCAGACTAAGCAAAAAAAAAACATTTTGTGGCACAAAGCTTGTTAGAAAATAAAAAATGTAATCACGTTGTTTGAGGTTTAACAAATAATGAAATACAATGCTATTCGATAAAAATGACTCACCTGATATTTTACTAAAAATATTTTTTGTCTATTGTTTTTGGGGTTAAAATAATTTTTGATCTTACTAATATAAAGACCCCTTCCCGACTACCTAGGAAAAAAATTTATTCACCCTAAGGTATTCTATTGATAATTATAAGTTTGGATATAAATGAGATTCATGAAAAAACTCTGTGCAAAAAAAAGTGACTCAGATATCGCATTCTAATGATTAAACTGGTAAATTTAAAGAACTTTTGACAAAATATTGAAAACTAATTTAAAATACACTCAGAAGAATATTCTAGAAAATTCTAGAACAGCTTAAATTAAATCTAGAGTATTCCAGAATATTCCAGAAAGTCTCATACAGTATAAAAACAGCATGAAATAGCCACTCAAGTCACTAACCAGATGAAAGGGTACAAACACGCATCAGAACCACTTAAGGCATCTATTATTGCCCTCTCAAAAGCAGGCAAGTCTACGAGAGAAATTGCTATAACCTCACAATCAACTATCTCTCGAGTGCTTAACGCGCATAATGATGCCAGTCCTGCTCCAAAGAATGAAACATGGGGACGAAAGAAAAAGATTGATGATAGAATTGGCAGGGTAATCAAGAGAGAAGTCGCGAACAATAGGACTATAACTAGCCAAGAATTTGCAGCCATTCTAAGCGAAAAGCAAGGTGTTAGTCTTGCCTCTTCAATAGTCCGTCAGAACAAGGTTACAAATCTTGTTAGAACAAAACTACAAATTTTGTACACGAAGGTTTAAGCCGCTAATAAGCAAAGCCAACAAAGCCAAGAGACTTGAATGGTCTCACTATTACAAAAATTTCACCGTAGAAGACTGGAAGAATGTTCTCTTCTCTGATGAAAAGAAAGTTGAGCAAAATTCAAAGGATAAGGTGAGTCACTTTTATCAAACAACACTGTATATTTGTTTTATATTGAATTGAATGGAGACCAGTAAGATGATGAAGAAGACCGTAATAGGTTCGAAGTGTTTTTACTAAAGTTAGATTGGAAGATTCATCAAGGGTTTGAGGTAATATTGAATCCGTGTGAACAGTATTGATGTATGAGTAGTATGTATGTGTTGTAGAGTAGTTTCACAGTGGAGGCTTGTAAGTCGGTCCTAAAAAGGTTCGACGTACAAAACGTTAGGAACTTGGTATAATAGGTAATGACGAAGAGAAATCTAGTGGTGGTCGCTGATACTCTTAATGTCCGACATCGACTGACTGACCAACTCACTGGGCGACTGCTATTACTACTACTACTACTTATTATAGGTGGGAGAGTCTATTAACTATAGAATAGGTGTGTTCCAGTAAAACAGTATGATATGAGGAAATGTGTAAACCATAATGTCCATAAATAAAAATCGTTAAACGGAATATCACTGCTTTTCAGCAATGCTCTTGTTTAGACAGAAAATATTAATGATGCTTTTCTAGATTTTATTCGTTACTTAAAATTATTGACCGAATCATATATTTTCGTAGAAAACTTTTGTTGTCTTTTGATACCCCTTTTCTCGGAGGGTGAAGACAGTCGTATAACTATTTTTTTTCTCTCCTTAGCCATTGTTTATACTCAGTGGATGCTTTCTTTTTTATTGCGGCATTATATCAATTTGAGGTATGATTAACAAATGCGTGCCATAAAGCAAATGCCATTATAAAATTTTATAAAAACATGAAAATTCCATACGTTATAGATCAAGCAACGTTTCGACCAATTACTCTATGGACAGATTACCATTGTTTGGCTGATATATCTTTTGCTTATTGTGCTATTTTGTTTCTGTTGTACCATTTATTAGCAGTGTCCTAGTCGATATAGACAGTGGGCAAAACATGTGTGACTGTCATAAGTTCAATCCTTGGTTCGGATGGTTGTACACTGGTCCAACAAGAACGAACAATAACTGCGTGCACAGGGACAAAATAAAACTATAACCACCAGATATTTCATTTCATCCAAACAATGGACACCTGATGATGGCCAAAGTGTACGTAACCGAAACGCTGTGTCTATAATAACATCCATAAAAACGAAGATGAAGATAATAGTTCTAAATAATAAAAGTATATTGATAATAACTCATCTCAAAGGTGAAAGTTCCTGTACAATATAACCATTTTTTAGTGCACGGAGTTTTATTGGGTCTAATTTCCCCGTCCTTGATGCTTGATTTACAATAACGCTTCGATATTTTTGCCTTCATCAGGTGTGTGTTGTGTTTTGGAATATTGTCAAATCATAGTTCAAGGGAGCATGCGCATCATCTCTTATAAATATCACGTTTGGTTTTTGCGTCTTTTAGAAATAACACAAAAACAAAAACAAAAAAAACAAGGATATTAGATTGAAGAAAATCACATCAAGTGTTTAAAAGAAAAGAATTAAGACAAAAACAAACATTTTTATTTTGAAGAATACAATTTGCTGAGATCGTTAAAATCTATAGAAACATTTCTATAAGATCGCAATAAAAAGTAAAATAAAATTAAATTTCAAGACCGCAATCTAATTAAATTAAATATGTCTACTTAATTTTAAAATTAAATTAATATAAAAATAAATAAATTAACTTTTTTTTTCTTTTTGCTTTCCTAGAATTATTTTTTAAATATCAAATTAAAATTAACTTATTAAATACATATGAATACATACAGTATTATCATATGTGTGTATACACGCATAAATGCTTATGAGATCTCATCGAATATTCTCGTTGTAATTTCTGTGTGATAAAAAATTCATAGTGAATTATTTTTGTAAAAACACTTCGAAACTGAAATGGTCTCCTTCATCATCTTACTCGTCTCCATTTAATTCGATGTACAACAAATAAAATATTTCCCTATTTGTTAAACCTCTAACAATTTTACATAAAACGAATCAAAGTATACTTGTAGTAAATACTCCCGCTTAATCGGACCAACACACTACACACTATTAACATGTTTTTCGTTCAAACATCAACAAACACAATCCGATGAAATCCTAACGTGTGAAACGTGTCACGTCACAAGTAAACTTTTCCCATTTTGTCTTACAATTTTCCTAATGTATGTGTGTGTGTGTGTGTGTGTGTGTGTGTGTGTGTGTGTGTGTGTGTGTGTGTGTGTGTGTGTGTGTATGTGTGTGCTCTAAGCATTTAGTGAATTTGACTGAGAAATGTTTTGATGAATTTTATATAGGCATTTTTAGAAATGTGTGTTTTACTAATGCCGGATTAAAATTAAATTTCAAATGCATGCGTATCCTATCCAGACGATGTCATGCGTAGAACATTTTGTAATTAAAAGGGATTTACAAATGAAATTTGAAAAACAAATTCTTTCGGGTCACATAACTTTCATTCGAGGCACTTACTTCTAAATTAAAATCATACACGTTCTAAAAAGCATGTTCGGAAGACAGGAATTAAATCTTTCAACTCTTATAACTGATAGCATTAACAGATATGAACAATATCTGAATCAATTTTGCATAAAACGAATCAAATATATTTGTAATAATTCCGCCCGCTTAATCGGACCACCACACTGTGTCATCAAGAACGAAAAAAATAATATTTTCCTGGTAATTGTTGCTTGGCCAAGGGATCTGCAGTGTATTTGTTTCGGATTGTCTTTTAGAGTACATGTACAATTATGTGTGCCATTTAGTGTATGCAAAATCTAAATGAATATATTAGTGATGGTTGAAAGTATTTGAATAAAACATTAAGAACTTTAAAAGTTTCTTTATAAATCTTGACTGAAATTGACTTTTCAATAAGTTTGTATTTCATTTTTCAAATGATAATTGTCAATAAATTTTAATTATTTGGACTATTATACTCATTTTGATTGTTATTGTCTATAATAACATCTATAACAAATACCATCAGTACAATATGAAAAATGAAATACAAAATTATCGAAAAGCAATATGACTTCAGAATGATAACCAAATGTCAAAATCACCAGACATCGAATATGAAGGCCCCCAAAATACTGCTTCTGGAGCGAGGAATATTGATATATGAGTCGGCTAAACATGAGTTACTGTTATTAAGTGGTCGTTAGTTCAATTCCTGGATTAGTTAGGGAAACAATATGCGCTGATTCAGCGGAAACGAATACGAACTGGCATATCCCATACCAGCCAAACAATCGACAATTGAAGATAGCTCAGGGGTTCTTGTTTGAAACGTGTCTATAACAACATCTATAATAAAGATAAGAACAATGCTTAGAAATAATTAATGTATTTTGAATACGCGGCCACTGATTTACGCTATTTACATCGTTCGAACTATTGGTCTCATCTTTATTGCCATATTCACGACGTTTCGGCCGTTCTTCGCTTTGGCTTTCTTCAGGAATTAGAATCTACCCCCGTGGACTAAATAAAAAAGTTTTGTTTATATATCCAACGTATATCACCAGAAGAAGCTAGAGTATACAATGGCACGATGTAAATATTTACAATACCTCATGTCAGAAATATAGACAGATGATACGGATACTTATACAGAAAGTTCGCACATTATAAGGCTGAAGATCAACTCAAGGTAGAAGGTTACGACGTGAATTTTTTGAATGGGCGTAAGAGGACAAATTAAGTGCAGATTATGTGGATAAGAACCATGACACACAAGCAGGAGAATCCAGTCATAGCTGTCAGACATATTTCTGCAACCACATCAGCCCTTATATCTGGCCACCTAACTCCTAAGATTTCAACCCACCTTAATTATTTTGTGTGGTGTGCAGTTGAATGATAGATCAGCAAAATCCCCTGTAGATCCAAAGATGAAATGAAGGCAAGGATTATCGTAGCATTCACTAAGTTAAACAAGGAGGCCGTCCATAAGAGTTCAAGAGATTCCAATATATAAATTCACTTTCATCATATGTTTAGGTTTTATTACAATTCTGAACATCACTTTTTAAAACAATAAGCTTTGTCGAGGAGTAGTTAAAATTTAAACGGTATCATGGGAAAAATTGACTTTTTAACACTCATATTTTTGCGGGAACAAAAGTCCTTGTTTGCCAGAAACGTTCTTGGAGTATCGATTTATCAAGAAAGACTCTTTTAACGACACGAAATAAAGTAGTTTTTTATAAGCGCCATTTTTATTCTTATGCTGCTTATCTAATTATTATGCGAACATGATTTATTTACTCAAGTGGTTAAGCTAATATTAAGAACACCCTGTAACTGGTGGTCAAATTGCAAAGAAACATATTATCGCTCACTGTTTGTTTTTACCTTTTTCCGGTGTCTGCCGCAACGAACGAGCTACTACTCTGACGGAACCGCGGGGTGGCGGCGGCGGCGGCATCACGGATAGAAGTGGATAGATCTTCGCGACACGTAGACGGTCCGTTAATTTGTTTTCCCGACGCGTAAGAAAGCTAAGACGCGTAGGACGAACAGTACTGGGCGATTCAATTTGAGACCGACAAATCGACAACCTGGGCGGCGAGCAAACGATGGAAATTTTATTTTCTGCAGGTAATCATCAAATCTTAGAGATTCTCAAAGTATCCGAGAATATTTTTTACTTTTTTTTTACATTGATAGCCACACTCTACAGGGTCTAAGGGTCACTCAACGTAGAGGGTTAAAGAGAAAGAGGAATAGTTTATGGGAATATATGGGGAAGAAAACGGTTAACTCTAGATCTGAAAGGTTAATATTGTAGTAATCGAGAAAGCATTCTCTTGGGAGTTTGTTCCACATAGCAGCGTTTCGTGAGATGAAGTTGAAAGGAAAGAAGGTAGCTCGTTAAAATGAGTGCAGCATGGTGGGTCTTAGCTGTGAAGGTTGGAAATAGTGGAACGAAGGAATGTAGTCCGTTTGATAACTTTCAATGGAAATAGCGATAGAGTGAGAAAGGGACTGCGTAACAGAAAATTAAGACAACAGGTGTTACATGAAGACATTTCTTTACAAAAATATTCATCCTGTACAAGTCCCAAAAGCCACTCGAGGTAGAGTGTTACAGTTTATACGGATATGTAAAAGATAACTGTTAATCCTAGACCTGAACAGGTTAAGATTGTAGTAATCAGGGAAGCATTCTCTTGGGAGTCGGTTCCACAAGGTAGCGCTAGTAGAAAGAGGAGTTTTATTAATAGGGGTAGTCGGGATTTTTCTTCATAGGCAATAAATGACGGTTTTTAATAAAATGAGTGGAAAAAAAACATCATTTAAAGTGTTTAAATTAATAAACAGAAATTAACGAGTGGTTTTATACGTTTGGGGTATCGAAAAACTTTCTCAAAAAATAAAATTGCTTCTCCTGTCTATTAAGCAACTAAATGTACTTACCTCAGCGTAGAAAACTTGAATTGAAATCCTTTATAATGGATGGAAATATTTACTTGCTATAATTACATATATTAATTAAAATATTTTTTTTTAATTTTGTGTTAGAAATCTGGAAAGATGTTTCTGGTATATTTTTCGTATGCTCCTATTAAAAATGACGTTTAACATACGTTATCAATTTAAAAATAGCTGAGCAGAAATTTGCAATGAACGTTGTTGATCGTAGGTTATATTACTACTTACGTCGGCTTCATGAAATATCAGATAGGTAGTGCCAAATTGTTTTGCCGTACTTTGGTTATTGTTTAATAAATTCCGTTATATTTTCTTTTAAATATTTTATCCTTTATTCTGGTCAGTTGATGTGATATGTGAGTGCCCGGATTTGGATCGTGATGGAAGATCCAGAAATAAGCGGAACTTCAATATGGAACTTCTTAAGATGGGAACGGTTTTTAGATAAGGTAGAGAGACTGACTGAACTAAATTTGACAAAAACGTAGGTATTAAAAAAACAGTATTAAAATGCCGAGCTGAATCTAATTAAAAAGAGAGTGAAGTGCTGTTTTCTTTCTAGTTGACTGCTTCTATGATTTTCCACGCTTTGAAATTCTTTTTGTTTTGTTAATTATTAACCCATTCTCTACTGTGTCCAGCAGTCTCCTTTAGTTATCAACTGCTATTTTTAATGAGACTCGTTCGGTTAACAATCTGGACCTAGAATCTCAACAACGGAAAGCCGACGATGGTCTATCAACAAAAACTCATAAACTTAACCCCACTAATCCTCTAGATTATATTTGTTTTGTTAATTAATAAACTAGATAACGATATAACATACTGTGAGATTCATAATCTTGGGCAGAATTTTCTTATTCAAAGTAAATTCTTCACGCGTAATTATTATCAATAAAGCGTATTCTAAGAATGTATGAAACTTTTACATCATTTTTATATTTTAGCAATAAAATATTCAGATAGTTTTATATATTTTAACAATAAAAAGCTCAAATAAAATACCTTCACTACTTCAACAAAAACTCAACAAAATCTTCCCAGTAGGAACGAATACATTTGGCGTAAAAGTATAGATAAAAACTCCCTCTAGCTGATAGGGGTATTGATAGCCAAGAGAACGTTGACAGTATGACAATGTGTATCAAAGCTTAGTGGCATGAGAGTGTATTCCTCTGTTTCGAATTTAAGCAATTTATCTGGCGCCGTGAATTATAGCCGCCTAAATCCCTAGGTGTCAAAGTTTAGTAGTATGAGATTGTATTCCTCTGCTTCGAGTTTGAACAATTTAACTGAGGCCGATAATTACAGCAAACCAAATCCCTGTGTATCAAAGTTTAGTGGTATGAGAGTGTATTCTCCTGATTCGAATTTGAACAATTTAACTGATGCCATGACTTATAACAACCCAAATACCTGCGACAGAAAGCAACAAAAGCGATAGATTATCGTGAAATAAATATGTGCAGTAATGAAAATATTATTCTAGAAAGTATCAAAATGCAAATTCATGAAGTAGGTAGGAAAGAAATAGGATTAATAATACGAATTCCGAGCACTTTCAGCGGCTACTTTAAGTTTTCTTGCATGACATTGATTCGATTGTAGTCTTGTGCCTCAGATAAACTACAAATAAATTACAAATCCGGCTTCATATGTATTGTAGCATACCTACGGACGATAATGTGTATGTCCGCATTCTCATAAATACAGTAGTAAAAACTGTATATTGGTCTTCAGTTGGAGATTCGTCTCCAGCTGTGCTAGTCGAACTCAATGCCTTCGGGCAGAGAGGAACCCACACGAAGCTACGCCGAAGGGCAGTCTTGTCTGGGGTGGTAGACAGCAACTCGACCCCGTTTATTACGGGGAATTTTTGCCCGAGCCTACGGGCTCGGATACCCCACGTTAAATTCGGCCTTGTGCCACATCTGACTGCGTGGGGCGGTTGGCAAATTTCCTTCAGTTGGAGATACGTCTCTGGCTGTGCTGGTCGGACTCTCTGCTTTCAGGCAGAGAGGAACCCAAACGAGGCTATGCCGAAGGGCAGAGACTAGCCTAGAGTGGTAGACAGTTACTCAACCCCATTTTTTACGGGATCTACGGGGAATTTTTGCCTGAACCTACGGGCTCGGATACCCCACGTTAAATTTGGCATTGTGCCACATCTGACTGCGTGGGGCGGTTGGCAAATATCCTTCAGGTGGAGATTCCTCTCCAGCTAAGCTAGTCGAACTCTCTGCCTTCGGGCAGGGAGGAACCCAGACGAGGCTATGCCGAAGGGCAGAGTCTCGCCAGGAGTGGTAGACAGCTATTCAACCCCGTTTTTACGGGATCTGCGGGGAATTTTTGCCTGAACCTACGGGGCTCGGATACCCCACGTTAAATTCGGCCTTGTGCCACATCTGACTGCGTGGGGCGGTTGGCAAATTTCCTTCAGTTGGAGATACGTCTCTGGCTGTGCTGGTAGGACTCTCTGCTTTCAGGCAGAGAGGAACCCAAACGTGGCTATGCCGAAGGGCAGAGTCTCGCCAGGAGTGGTAGACAGCTACTCAACCCCGTTTTTTACGGGATCTGCGGGGAATTTTTGGCTGAACCTACGGGTTCGGATACCCCACGTTAAATTCGGCCTTGTGCCACATCTGACTGCGTGGGGCGGTTAGCAAATTTCCTTCAGTTGTTGATACGTCTCCAGCTAAGCTAGTCGAACTCACTGCCTTCGGGCAGGGAGGGACCCAGATGAGGCTATTCCGAAGGGCAGAGTCTCGTCTTGGGAAACAGCTACCCGACCACGTTTTATACGGGGTCTACGGGGATTAGGTTTAGGATTAGGCCGAGCCTCCAGGCTAGAATGCTTCATATTAAATTCGGCCTTATTCCACATCTGGCCGCGTGGGGCGGTTGGTAGATATCCTGCATGTGGAAATTCATTGTGGAATTTACTTAACACACTTCTAGCAGTTGACTACTTCTACGCGCCGCTGGCGAATCTTATGTGTTGTTCGTGTCCTAAGTATTATCGTTCATTATCAACCTTCGTGTGATTATTCTATTCAATAACCTTCCCTAGGTTACAACAATAGGACAAGAAGACCGGAAATATTTGGTATCATGCATTGGACCAGTAAGATAAGTCTTAATCAATATTGTCCAGATTGCTAGTCATATCAGTGATTCAAAGCATGTCTGTGGCAATTTCTTTTAATACAAAATAGACAATAAATGAAAAGAACGTAGTTATGTTAAAGTGTTATTTTATTTTCTCAGCTAGAAAGATCAATATCATAAAACAAAGCCCTGTAACGAAAACTCAAGCCACAGTGCAGCATCTGCAGCTCTGGCAGAGACATCTCTGCACAAGAACAATTTCATTTGAAAGTAACATATATATATATATATATATATATATATATATATATTAGAAAAAAAAGGACATTACATCACGACAGCTGCTGGCTAAAGATTGAATTCAATACAGAACACGATGAAGCTATTCCATTTAAACAACAATTCGTATGCTTCTTACTGACGAGTTGTTCACCAACATGATCTACTGTCGCCAAGAAACGATTGTTATCGTTCATACATAACTATTATATGCAAATATATTTCTAAATACTGGATATTCTATTCTTTTAAGTTTTTTGAACTGACTCACGGAAAATTCAAGCCTTAAAGAGGTTTATGCACTTGCATACGTTGTATGCATGTATATTAGGCCTCTACTAGAAGAGGCCGAAAAGTTCCCAACCGGAACTTCTTCTACGGGCGATCATGGCTATCCACAACTTCCTATCTCTTATAGCAACGTTTGTAGCTTTTCCAAACCTCCCTCTCTCTGTTGCACGATCCATTCATAAATGCTTGTCATGTAGGTTAGCCCACAGCCTTGTTCGCCTTGCTCTCGATATGCTCGGTGAGCGTCAAATTCTCCAAGCCTTCCTTCCACGTCGAATGCCAAACAAATTTCAGCTGTCTCTTTCCGATTCTAAGTATGGCTGTTCGTCTCGAAAAAGACCGCCAATCTGCGGTTGACTAGAGTAAGAAACTGCTCTCATTCACCCACCAGAGAGAAAACACCCTGCTTCCTGTCAGCGTGGCTGATGCTCAGCTTCACGAGAGCGTCTCTCTGCGTCTTCTTGCTCTCACGTTTTCTACTG